GCCCTCCGCCACCCATGTCGTCGCCCTCCGCCGCCCACGCTGTCGCCCTTCGTCGCCCGATGTGAGCCGCCGCCGCGCCACGGCTCTGTTCATTTTTTTCATATAATTTGTATTATTTTTTTGTTCATTGCATTTTTTTCATATATATAATGTATATATATATATATATGGATGTGGTATGTATGTATGAATATAATGTTCATATCATTTTTTTTGTTTATATATGTTTTTTTCATATATGTATTAATTTTTTATTTAGGTTAATTATTAGTAGATATCGATTTTAGGTTAGTGCTTAGTAGTTGAACTAGTTGATTTAATAAAACTACTTTATTAAATTCTACTATATATAGAAGTAGTTTATTTTTAGTAAGAACTACTTTATTTTATTTATTTATAGTAAGTGCTTAGTAGTTGAACTAGTTGATTAATTAATAAAACTACTTTATTAAATTTTACTATATATAGAAGTAGTTTATTTTTAGTAAGAACTACTTTATTTTATTTATTTATAGTAAGTGCTTAGTAGTTGAACTAGTTGATTTAATAAAACTACTTTATGTTAGCAAGAAAATTAATAGAACTAGTTTATTTTTTTAGTTCAAGCAATTAATCCCGCATCGACGTCGACGATGCCTATCCCGCATCCTCGTCGTCGACTCGGTGGAGGAGGCCGGCTTGACCAGAGGGACCATGTCCGAGACTGGGCTCCGCCGGGCTGGTATTGGGTGGTGCTACCTTCCGGGGGGCGTAGGTTGGTGAGGAGCCAGCCCGTTGTTGACCCGATCCTTGTTTGGTGGCAGTCGCGTGGGTCAGTGATGGTGCCGAGGCTTCCGGACACCGCAGAGGTGGTACGTCACCGTGTCAGCGAGGAGGACGAGCACATCCGTCGCTACATGGTTGCATTGGAGGGCAGGTTTGACAATACCTGGCAGGTTCTTCAGGGATCTCACTGGAGCTATGATCCTGTGATGGTTCCTTCTCTTTGGGTGTCCACCGCCCGTGACGATACCCGTCGGGCGCTACGGTTCTAGCTGTATTAGCAATGCTATATGTATGATAGTATTCGAGGAGTATTAGTGATAATATTCGACGATGTACGGACACAAGAGATGATGTACTTTTGCTTATAATTGAATGCATGCTAATTTGAATACAACTTTATTTTACGATTTGGTTTTTCTTATTGAATGCTCAAATTGGAGAAGTACTCCTACTTTGAATGCTAAAATTGGAGAGCACTATGTAGAAATCTAGGAGCTCCCTCCATCATCCGCGCCATCGTCCCGTCACCAACCCCCCTCCGACCTCGAGGTGAGACCAGCCAAATTTCCATGTCAATATGAGTCCTATAATATGAGTCATCGGGTTGACTTTAAGTTTGTTGAGTCTCCACCTATATGTGAGGACGAAGAATCCCGACTGTTATCGTGGGGGTAGCTTCTCCTTCGTCCCCGTGTGCTAGACACAATGTGTAATGCACTCGGGAACGAAAGGAGGAGCTACCATCATCGACGGTCGCAAATGTCATAGAGAAATCAGTGAGGGAGAGTCTCCAACCATATATGTATGAGAGGACAAAGAATCTCGACAGTTGTCGTGGGGGTAGCTTCTCCTTCATTCCCGTGTGCTAGACAATTTGGTGTAATGCACTCAGGAATGAAAGGAGGAGCTACCATCACCGGCGGTCGAATATGTACACCACATGAGCTGAGAGTTTTTTAGTACATATATTTAATTGTACAAGTTTAATATTTGAATTATGAACATAGGAAATGTCGTACTCGGACGATGAAAATCGCCCGGGGGAGTGCGACTGGTGCCACGACAACCGAGGTATATGCGACAGGTTCCTTGAGCTGGACGAAGATCGACACTTCAGTATTAATCTCGAGGAGACCTTCGATGTTGAAATGGTACGCAACGACGACAATAATTTTTTCGTAATTAAGCACGACTTCAACTATTTTAACGTGTACTTTTCATCTTTTCCAATTCGACTAGCTTATCCCATGCTATGCAAGACGCTATGTCTTGGAGAGGATGGGTTTTGAAGACCATGAAAGTATGGAAACAAAGAAAATTCACCTAAGGACCCATCATGGTGTAGATTTTGAAGTAAAGATGTACAATTCTGAGAGTGTAACCCATTTTGGTTGCAAAAATTAGGAAGCACTTTGCAAGATGTATGGTTTTGATGAGGGTATGCTTGTCACCATGGATCTTGGTGATCCTAAAATCGAGCAAGACAATATGGACATTTGGGTCCTTGTTGATACGCTTCCAATTCTTCCCCTACGTGAGCTTCTCAAACATAGTTATTAAGTAATTTATATTGTTTATTTCAAAATAGTTGACAGCTTATTTTCATTCTTCAAAGAATGTGTGGAAGATGGTAGACAAAACACACTACACCGATGGATCCGAATTAACTTATAACGAGAAAAATCATCTGATCGCATTTTGTACTGATCTTGAGAATTACAATATCTACAATTGAATTCCTCAACATTATGGTCAATACGTGCCACTAGTGCACGTGTTGAACTACGGTAACTACCATGGAGATACCCTGGTAAGATTTTTTACTATTACGACATCCGTGCATCTTTTGCATACTTCTAAAACTAGTACATCATTGCTAACTACGAAGTTATTACTATGTTTTTCAACAGATAATCCTGAATGATTGTGTGCCTCATCTGATGTATACGCACGGTCGCCTTGATGTTTCGAACATACAACCAAGTCGTCCTACAAATCTCAACTGTCCATACCGGATTTCTAAAAGAAGTGGAGACATGACAATCAAAGAATGGAAAAAATGTATGGACAGTCGTAAGGAGGTTCTTGGAAGCAAAAGGAAGCGAAGCGCAATAATTGTAGGCAGGATGATCTCCATTCTCCATAATGAAGAGTCGGGGTCTATATTGTTTTATGCTATTTTACCTTAAAGAGGGTATTTATACCTCATACTGATGATCATGTGCTAATAACAATTAAGTAGGATTGGTTCTATGACTATGAGGATGATGATCGTATGACTTGTTATTAATAACGAGTAGAAGTTGTATGATGATGATTAATTAGTAGGACTTGTTATTATATATGACGATGCATGATGCGAGCGGGTGAAATAAACATGGATTGGATTGAAGTGAAGGCAACATGCATGTGGTGCATGTCGAAAGTAGTACAATCCAAACTTGATCAAGTTAGGATTAGTATTACTTTCGACATGCACCACATGTTGCCTTCACTTCAATCTATGCCATGTTAACGTTAGGCATAGCAGTAGCGTTGGTAAACCAAGCACGGAGATATATAAGAGAGGACACTTCTCTCTATTAGCTAGCTAATAACAACCTAAATTAACCCCCAAAGCCCCTAAACCAGCCCTTTCAAAAAAATCTCTGCTCCAACCAGCTGCTGACGCGAGGATGTCTATTGGTCCCGGTTGGTGTCACCAACCGGGACCAAAGGCCCCCCCTGCCTGGGTTGGCCGCAGCGGCCACGTGGAGACCCATCTGTCCCGGTTCGTGTAAGAACCGGGACTAAATGCCAAGGGCATTAGTAACGACCTTTTAGTCCCGGTTTCAAAACCGGGACAGAAGGCCCTTACAAACCGGAACAAAAGGCCCTTTTTCTACTAGTGTACAGGGTGGAAGTGGCAATGTCCACTTAAATCATATAGAATTAGCAAACCATAGGATGGAAAATGGCAACGCCCACTTATGGCTCCTTTGATTCAAAGGAGCTGCATAGGATTTTTGAAGGGCCAGAATCTTTAGGATTTTTTTTCCTACATTGGTCGTTTGATTCATATGATTGAATCGTATACGAATCTTTTCTATGGAATCATGTGTATTGAAAATCTAGCATCCACTTCAACCTCTTTTTTTACTTCCTTTGTTTTTTCGGTGGCATCAAACACTCTGTGCTAAACCCATGAGATTCAAGTGGGCAATGCCACTTCAATCCTTTATTTTTCTTATTCATGCATTTTGAGAATCCTACGAATCAAAGAGGCCTTAAATTCTATAGAATTAGCAAACCATAGGAATTTGGACCGGAGGGTGTTTGATGACGCTGGAAAAACAAATGAACCGTAGGAAGTTTGAGTGGGTGAAAATTTTCCTTCAAAATAAGGGTGCAAAGCAACCATTTGGATATTTCCACGAGGATTCCAATTCTATGAATCGAACATCGAAAATGAACCGTAGGAAGTGTGAGTGGATGAAAATTTTCCTTCAAAATAAGGGTGCAAAGCAACCATTTGGATATTTCCACGAGGACTCCAATTCTATGAATCGAACATCCTACATAGAACAAATACTCGAAGGCCTATGAAATTCCTTTGCATCAATTGAGCCCTTAAAAAGGTAGGTGAGATCTTGTGACAGCCTGCTGTTCATCGATCGAGACGTGGCCGTCCTCTTGACCGGTGAGGGGTAAAGGCTCATCCACACAGTTCGGTGGACCAGTGATGCCCTACCACAGCAGGTACTACTTATGTGTTTATACATACGGTCGAGAGCGCACATCATGCGCCCTGCCAACTCTACAACAAGCGACAAGGCACCACCATATCCGTTCATACATATACTACTACCACTGTCACTCCCGGAATAGATAGACAGGCAGACACTGCTGGTTCATGGATGGTTAATACAGACAGATTACATACTAACGCTACCTACATACATAAATATTTACATCAGGGATGGATGTGATCACCAATGAGCATCCAGGCAAGGGACAGCCTTGGCCCTAGATCTCTCTCTGCCGAAGAGCAAACCAGCCGACAAGCGCGATTGCGCACCAAAGTCTCTACATTTCCTACTGGTAACTACAGTACAGCCGAAGGATTGTTGCATCAGAAGGCGGGGTGGGGGAGTTGGTGGTGATCAACAATAGCAATAGCAATAGACCATACTTCAGGGGCTGTTACTTCTTTGCTGGGAACTAGTCCCCCCGCGATACCTTCGCCTCAGTCGGCCTTAACACAACCTGCAGAGACCAACATCTGAAAGGTGAGTCGCTTCCGGTGGGTGATCCTTGTGATAGCAAACAACAATCTCATGCGACACAATGCTTGCGGCGAGTCGGTTTAGGTAAATGGGGGAACTGAATGCCATGCATAGCAAACATCATGTAAACGGATTTGATGCACCCACCAAAAACAGTGTGAACTTGACCAATTGCATGTGGTTTTAAAAAGCACATACCTAGTTGGCTAGAATTTAAATCGCTTGATTCGGGAAGATGGGCCTTCTCGGTTGCGCCGTCACCATCCACTGAACCTTCCTCCTTTCTTGGGCCAGATGGTTTCGAGTTCATCTTCTGGACCTCCTCCTTGGTGTAAATGCATATCTTGCGCACTATGCTGCAGAACTCCCTGCTCACAGAATGATGCGGTATTAGCACTAGGAAGGGAAGCTCTGCTAAGCAAGCACCAAGACAGAGACTCACTCCCATGGATCGTCTCCCACCAGCATCATGTCACCCTCATTGTCAGTATAGACAATCTGCCAATTTTTGTTTGAGGACATCAGTTCGCCATCAAATTCAAACATCTTGTCTAGCTCAGCTGTGAGTTCATCATAGTCAACGAACTTTGACAGATCCACTGATCTACCAAGTGCAACACCTTGCTTATGAACCTGCAAAACCGTGGATGATACATATATCATTAGCAAACAAGGTTATGCGATACGATCCTATGATAATATGTATACTCCTAGTCCTATAGAGTATAAGAAAGTATAAGCATGCATACTGTTCACATGCATAGAATCATAGATCAAACAGTCTTGTTTATAACAATACAAACGGACAAAGAAATATAATGCCTGATATGAGTCAGCCTGAAACATACACCTACTCAAGCATGTGTTCACATGAACTGGGAATTCAAATGTTTTCGGCAAACAAACATTATGGCAACATGAGGGCTAACAAACATTTCCACAACTAGCTAATGAATGGATAATGTAATTCTCAACTGACAGCAGAAAATGACACAGAAACATTTTAACATCAAGGCTAGCAGTTGGCATGAACATAAGAGAAAACAAGACTATACCTTTGTGCAACTCCTTGTGGAAGCACCATGGGACTTGCTTTGGACGTCTTTTGAACTCTGCGGACATTGCTGCATGTTTTTCTCATTCTCAGTCGTCCCAGCAATGCTTAAAGACACCTCAGGAGAACAATCAGTTTGCAAATGATCTAATGATACAGATGGTTGAGTTTGTAGCACAGGCTCGTGCGTTCCAGCCATTGGGGAGTTCAAATGGTTAAAACCAGCACTGGCAGTATCAACTTTAAACCCAAAGATCTTGAAATCACTGCCTTCTGTTGTTTTCTCCAGCTCAATAGGAGCTATTGATGCGTGAGGCCTGATCACTCGTGGCTGTTCTGCCCGGGAGAACTGCGGGCTTAACCAATTTGATGGGTGTTCTTTAAACCTGAAATCTTGTGCTTGGTCTATTGAATTGCCGTACACGGTGCTCGGCCCATTCCAGAAATGTAAATCATTGTTCTCTGTGTGCATCTTTCTACTTGATTCAACAGTCAAGGAAGGTTGCTGATGCATAAATAAGTATGGGTCTGCGAACTGACGAGCATAACTGTGATCCTGAAACTGGTTCTTGAATGAACCAAGACGATTTGGAGCCTCATCAAAGGTTGTCTGCATGAAGAAGCCTAGGGAATCACCAAAAGGTTGAGCACCAGAACTGGCATCCTTGAAGTCAGTTTCACGCCTTCCCAACTGAATCGAATTATGCACGGAGGGCCTCTGCTGAAACGTTAGTGGGTTGGTTTTTCCAATGTTGGGTGGTGGTGGTGACCACATCATAGGCTTCTGAACAGTGGCATCAAAGTCATTAATGTCGGTTAGCTTATTGCTCCTCTGTTCTTGACCTGGCAAAACAGTGTTATTTTGATTTCGCTGTGCTTGAGCACAATCCATATCAGCCTTAGTTGCACCTGCAAATGGCAGCAGCATTCAATAGTCAGATATGGAACCTATATTTTTTCACCAAGCTTCCAGTAAGACTAACAATGATCACCTTCTTTTGTACGAAGAGACGATTCAGGAGAAGCTGGAGGAACATTTGGTCTAGATCTTTTGGCACGAGAAAGAGGAAGCGGGTTAACAGGAGGTGATGAAGCAGGCTCTATTTCCCAAGGAGAGACTCTATCCGGGCGTGGAATAGTTGACGACTCATCCCAACGCACCTAAGTAGAAGAAATAATCATCCATAAGCATGAGACTTTTCCAGTCATATACAAAAAAGAAAACAGTGATCGACCAGTTACCTTAAGGGATCTCCAGCTTGATTCTGGCCACAATTGGTCAAGATTATCACTGCCCACTATGGTGCCAGTAAACCTACATGACAAACAGCGACAACAGATTATAAATGATGACTTAGTACTGTCAGGGGATAATGCAAACAAAACCAACTTTGTAGGGAAAGCAAATAGACAATAGTTACCTCTGCTCTGGTGCCTCTTCCCCTTCAAACCTCATCTTGAACCTCGTCCCAATAGAATAAATGTTTTTAACAGAGTCCATATATTTATCGTATGGTATAATGAACTCTGAACGGCTTGTCCTGAAATTGACAGAGAGTAGACAAGTGTAAGTACTCAGAACAGGACAGTGGGAACGAATTAATAAATAAAGATAAAGCAGTATGACTATAAAAGAGATGTTGATATATCATATACCTAGGCTTGTAGTAGACAGTGAACATGGTTTTTGTGTTGATAGCGTGCCATGCAGTTGCAAGGACTCCAAGGTGCATGCTGTGACTAGATATGACTGAAGAAGCTATATTGGAGAGCTGTCTCATAGCCCGCCTAACACCAACACGAAGCTCACCGCTCTCTCCTCTGCATGGTGCAGAACAGAAACAGAATTAGCAACAGCTTGGGAATTGCCGAATTGGTATGCTTGGGAGAAAAGGAAACAACAGCAGACCTGAGGAAAATGAAGGCGTCCCCAGCGACAAGCCTTTTGGAACTGACAAAGACGCTCCAGCCGCTCTGAAGGAGATGCCTCCTAGGTTGCCCTGTTGATTTGCAGTAAGTTAACACAGATATGATTGATGCTATCACCATCAACTACAAGGTGAACCTTCTCCAAATTGTGTACAGGTTTAATGTATTGCATTGTCACTCATAACAAAGCTCCTACGACGAAATGGTCTGCTGAATTGATCATCTTCAGATCACACTGGCATATATACATGGCAATGTCAAACGGCTACGGATCACGGTAAGGCAAGGAACGCAAAGTTACCGCGGAAAATGTGGCGGAAGCGCCACTCCATGCCATGAAGATCCTTTGCCACAAGCTCTTGTGTGGGAGGAGACTGCGTCATATCCTGCCAAATAGAAGATCAGGTCAGCGAATGCCACAAACCGACGGCAAGCCATACACTACGCAGGTTCCTTATGACTTTAATTGTAGAATGCAGACATACCAGGGGAGGGAGGCACTCGTCAGCGTGGCGGCGCAGCACCGAGAAGCCGCCATGTGTGCTGGTGTCGGACGCGGTCAGGGTCTTGCAGAAGGACCTCACCGCCAGCCTGGCAGGCGTGGTGCCTCCTGTTGCAGGGCTCGACTTCTCCGTCGTCGTCGCATCACTTTGCTGAAAAATACATGTCGCGACGAAGTGAACACCCTCGAGCAGAAGAAAAGGGGATCCCCAAAACATTCATTTTGGCGGGAGAGATTGAGGGAAGGGCTTACTTCCGGCTCCGGCATGAGCATGACCTGCGCGTAGACCTCGTCCGTGTCCGCCTCCGCCTGCCAAAAATTCCCAGGAAAAGTGAGGCGACCGAATCGAATTTCGGAGCACGCAGGAGGATGAGAAAATTGGGCGGAATTGAGCGCGGGAAGCGGGCGGGGGAGAGGCAGGCACCTTGAGCTCGACGTTGAGGACGCGGCAGAGCAGCTTAGAGGGCAGATCGTAGAGGCGCATCTGGTTGGCGGCGACCTGGTTCATGGAGGCCTCCACCTGAAAAAAGCAAAACCCAAAGCGGAAAAGCGAAATTCAGCGCGCGAACCGCGGAGCAGCGACCTCCCCACGCCGAATCGCGCGAGGGCCGAGGGATGGAGGGGGGCGAAGGGGAAGGCGGCGTGGTGAGAACCTGCTCGATGTGGCCCTGCGGGAAGTAGTAGACCATGTCCCCGACGCGCGGCACGGTGACGAGCGGGCCGGCGCAGGCGTGCCAGAGCTCGTCGTACAGCGGATCCCCTGCTCCGCCAAACCCATGAGACATCAGGCACGAGGAGGAGGAGGAGGAGAGTAGGGAGACGGAAAGGGGGGCGCGACGGCCAGATCTGCGCGCGCGTACCTGTGGAGGCGCCCTGCGGGGGCGGGGGCGGCGGCGGCATGGCCGCGGGCGGCATCCGGCGGTCGCGGCAGCGGCGGCGCGGG